AAAATGGAAGTCTCTGTGATCAAGAAATTGATAGTATTTGCAGTATAGAGCGTGCAGATAATGACAAGGAATATCTAGTACTTACTTTAACAAAAAATGATCTTGACAAAGCAAATAAAGACAAGGCAAACCGGTATTTTTCTCCAAATTTTAAGGTGAAGCTGTACTTCACAAAAACAGTAGAGGAGCCATCAAATCCAGAGGCTAGCAGTTCAACTTGTGTAACACCAGATGTTAGTGACAATGAACCTGATCATTATAGATATTAAAGACAAAGCCAACCGGTATTTTTCTCCAAATTTTAAGGTCAGTTAAAAACATTTTGGGGAGTTAGTAGTGGCATGTGTGTATGTGTTGTGTCTGGGTGTGTAGCTGATAAAGATTATGCTTGACTAATTTAAAATTTTGCTATTACTTAGAAGCAATATTTATCTTGCAGTAACACAAAAATTTTTTTTAACTTTGTACGCAGAGTTTAAGAAAAAAACCCTGTAATTTTTTCCTTACACATTTTTTGTTCTTGTTTGGTGAAATCTTGGGCAGAAGTGAATAACGGGAGTTAATTGAGTGGTAGAGATATGAGATAGAAATGCGGGAAGAAAGAAACGGACAGGAACTTACATCATTTGGGAATGATCATATAGTGTGTTATTGCTGCGTCCAGTCTTGTCTTTCCTCCAGTTTATTCTCAAATCCCCAGTGATAAAAGTAGACTTGTTGTGTCACTCCTGTTTGCATTTTTTAAAGATCTTGTGGGGTTTTGTTTGTTCGTTTGTTTGCTTGTTTGTTTGTTTTTAACCATGACCTGCAAGGACCTGCATAATTTAACATCATCCTACCTCCTATGTCAGCTCTAGCCACTTTCTCTCCTTGCTCCCTGAGATTCACAGGCTGATCTGCCTTCAGTTCTTCAAAAATGCTAAGCCTCTTTCTCTGGTCATTCTATTCCTTTTCCTTTTCCTTGTACCTTTCCATCCCAGCTGGTCCTCTGACCCTCACGTGGCTGTCCTTGTTGTATGCCCAGCCTTACCTTCAATCTCATGCACTCTCTTAGCCCTTCTCTGATTGTCCTCTCCTGTCGTTCTCTTTTTCAGAACCCTTTCTGTTCCCTTGTATTGTGTCTCGGAATTATTTGATTTGTTCCATTCATAGACAAGAATTCTTCAGATTAAAAAATATGATTTGTAAATATGCCCAAATGGTTGGTTGCCATTTTCTCCTTCCCTTTTTGTATTTCCTACTGGCTTGATCTCTCCCCCTTCATTTCACCATATGCATCTCCTTCCTTTTTGGTGTTCTCTCGTAATTTTTTCATTACATCTTTATAATATAACAAATCTAATCATAGCTTCTAAGTGTGAGAATATTGCTAGTAATATTTAAAGGTGGGTGCTAATATATTTTAAGTGAAAATAGATCTAATGTTAAATGCTGTTAGATCGTAAGTATCTAAGTGTTTAAAGTTGTCTTTGGAATCCACAGGTTTCCTTTCTTTTCTCTAAATCTTTATTTTCCTTAACTACTACCTTTTTAAATACCTTTTCCCTTCTAATTTGTGTTGTTTTTCTGTTTTAATATTGTAAGAAGTTTTATATGTGAGATTACAAATAGAAACTTATTACTAAACATACAATGCTATACCATGGTAAGTGCTATCAGAAATAGAGATGGGATAGAAATTAGTCTTGGTGTATATTTTTTTATTTTATTTATTTTGGAAATTAACATGGTTAGAGAAGGTCTGACCAAAGAGAAGACATTTAAGCACAAGCTGAAATAAGTTAGCTCTACAAAAATTGGGGGAAACAGGGAAGAGTTGATGCAAAATCCCTGAGGATAATGAACTAGGTCTATGAGGGGACTTCAAAACATTCATTGAAAAATTGAATTAAAGTACAAGTTTATTTTTTGTGCAGAAGCATTTGAAATCTATGAATTTTCCATAGACTTTTTGAAAATCCCTTGTAGTTATTTTTTTTTTTTTAAGAGAGAAAGAGATTTTTGCTCTAGGGCATGTATGCTCTCCAGAGAGACCGAAAGTGAAAAATCACCCCCTCTAGGGCGGATGGCTACATCACAGTTCCATCTCTATTCTCCTTTTGGGATTTTGGGCACACATGCACATACACCCAACATGAGTTTTAAGCTGCTGGGTTTGGGACTCGAACCATGGTCAACTATGTGGGACTCCAGTGACGTAACCTTTATACTGGTCCCAAAGATCCCTTGTATTTTAGGAGTGTCAGGTCATTTTGACTAAAACTAGTTCAAATGACAAGAAAGTATAGAGTTTAGCACAGGGAAGGTAGAAGTAGAATTTTATCTTTAAGTGTTCACTCTGTCTTCTGTAAAATACAGACTAATGAGAAGAGTAGGCAGAGGGACCAAGGATGGAAGCTGGGAAGTCAGTTTGGAGGATATTGCAATGGTTTGGTTCAGGTGAGAGAGGGGGTTGTTTGGACTAGAATAGTGGCAGTGAGGAGTTACAAGAATATGTCACATGAGGTGTATTTGGTATTTTTTCTTCTTTTTTCTGTTTTTGGAGAAGTTTTTGCTATAGGGCACATGTGCTTGCCAGAAAGACAGAGAAAGACAGAAAGACAAAAAGTGAGGAATCCCTGGGGGATGGCCACGCCACGATTCCTTCTCCATTCTGCTCTTGGGATCTTAGGCAAGCACACACGTGCCCAGTGTGAGTTTAAGCCACCGGGTCTGGGACTCAAACCACAGTCCTACTACATGGGAGTCCAGCAACATAGCCATTACGCCAACTGCTGTTCCCTATATTTGGTATTTTGAAGGTAGAACTTCTAAAGGATTTACTGATGAAGTGGATGTTGGTTGTAAAAGGAAGAATTGATAATGACTTTTGGATAATAGATGAAGAGCTATAAATACAGTAAAATGAGCAAAGGATTGAAGTTGATCTGATTTTAATCCCACATGCACTACCTACTACATTTGTGGCCTTTAGCAAGTTACCTACCCTTTTTGGGCCTTAGCTTCCTTTCCTTTAAATGGAAAAAGCTAATGCATAGGATTGTTTTGACAATTACCTTACCTATGTATGTCAACGCTCTTGGCCCACAGTTTAGAAAACTGTATAGGCATTATCTTCCCTCTCCTTTCTCTCTCTTCTCTTTATTTATTTATTTATTTATTTTGGCCAGAGGGCATATACTTTTCAGGGAAGGAGAAAGTATCCTCCTCCCCCAGTGGGATTTAGTCATGCTGCAATCTCTTCTCCATTTCTCTGTCTTGTCAGGATTTGAGGCACACACACGAGTACCTGGCTTGGGTGCTCAAGCTCTACCATACTGGAATTTGAACCACAGTTGACCATGTGGGAATCTGGCTCCTTTAACAACTAGGTAATGGGGCTGACCCCATACTTCCTCTATTTAAGTGAAATAATGGTCTGATGGGCTCTTAAACATCACTATTGATTAATAACTTTTTTTTAATTGCCAGAAGGTATGTGCACTCAGCAGATATGCAGAGGGAGCACCTCACAATGGGGCATGTTCATGTCACAGCCCTTTCTCCTTCATATTTCATACTGTCAGGATTTGGGACATGCATGCATATGTGCCTAGTGAGTTTTTCTTTTTCTTTTTTTCATTTATTTATTTATTTATTTTTGCATTTTCCCACAAACATTTACTTTACATATCAAAAAAGTGTTGCTCACACTCCATAGTTCTTGACAGTTAAACAACTTTCAAAATTTCAGAATACTGAATTTTAAAGATAATGTTCAAAATATTTCTTATACTTTTGTATAATTTTGTTTGTGATTCCATAACAACAGAGACACTATGGTTTTAAATATTTTCTTTTTCTTTTTTTGGAGAGGTTTTCGCTATAGGGCGCGTGCGCTCGCCAGACAGACAGAGAGAGACATAGAGACAGAAAGCGAGAAATCCCCCCCGGGGGGAGATGGTCACGCCGCAGTCCCTTCTCCTCCATTCTCCTCTCGGGATCTTGGGCACACACGCACATGTGCCCGGCGTGAGTTTTAAGCCACCGGGTCCGTGACGCGAACTGCGGTCGACTACGTGGGAGTCCAGGGACATAGCCATTACGCTAACTGCTGGTTCCCATGGTTTTAAATATTTTTGAGAAAGTATTTACATGTCAACTACTCAAATTGTTGAAAAGCAAATGCCCAGCACACAAGTCACATGTAAACCTCCTCCTCAGTTCAGCCGTGCCTGCCAAGTATTCTGTGAAATGCCATCAGCAGATGATCAGTCTGCAAATGATCAGTCTCTTTTTCTTCCTTCAAAGTCTTTCTCAAGATAATCCTCTGATGTATTTTTTCTTTTGCAATCTCTATTGATTACAACCCTGGGCTGGAAAAGTCCAGGTTATTTTATGTTATAAATTCTTTCAGATATCTTCTCTAATCCTCTCTGCCAGGCAGAACTATTTATGGTGCCAGGCCACCTTTCTAAGAGCTTCTGTTGGCTTGCTCGAGATCCACCTTAGTTCCATAGTTTTCTGATTAATCTTCAGGTATGACATTCCAGTCAAAGCCCTGTCTAATAAGGAGTATTTCCAACTTCTGATTCAATGCAACCAGCATTATTAAACTTATGCACATAACCCTTCTGCCACAGAATAAGAATGCTCCCAATTTTTTTCCAATCGAAGAGGGGTCAGGAAGGAAGAAAAGTTTGTGTTTCCATTTAAAGAAATAAACAAGAAAAATATTTTAACAAATTGCTGAACCTATCAACAACTGAAAAGAAAGTAAAATGCTTAAATTGGGAAAACAAAGCATAGTAAAAAAAATCAGTTATGTTTTTCTCAAAAGTCATACAGTTCTATTTCGCCAGTTCAGTTCTCTTATTTCTGTATTTTCCTGGTAGAGCACTCCTTTCAGAATTTCTTGAAGAGTGGGTCTGCTATTGGCAAATTCTTTCAGGTCTTGTTTATCTGAGAATGTTTTTATCCTTTCTTTCCATATGAAAGATAATCTTGCCGGGTATAGTATTCTAGGTTGAAACTGTTTTTCACTTAACACTTTGAATGCATTTTCCCATTCTTGCTTGCATTTTTTCTGATAAGAGGTCTGATTGGATAACCTTTATAAGTAACCTGATGTTTCTCTCTTGCCAATTTTAATATCTTGTCTTTGTAGATTTGACCAGTCTGACTATGATGTGCCTTGAAGATGATTTTCTTGGGTTGATTCCATTAGGGGTCCTTTGTATTTCTTGGGCCTAGATATTTGAATACCTCTCCAGATTTGGAAAGTTTTCTTCCAGGATTTCATGGAATAGATTATCAGTGCCCTTATTAGTTTCCTCACCTTCTAGGATACCGATTATTGAGATGTTTGGGTGCTTAATGGTGTCTAGCATTTATTGTATAGTATTTTCATTTTATGGGATTATTTTCTCAGGTTTTTTTGGTTGTTTTTTTCTAGATCAGAGGTTTTGCCTTCAACATCTGAGATTCAGTTTTCTGCATGGACTAATCTGCTTTTAATACCTTTAAGGGAGGTTTTGATTTCCTGAAGGGCAGCCTTCGTCTCTAATAGCTCCATTTGATTCTTTTTTATGGTGTGTATTTCCTCTTTCAGGTCATGGAAGAACTTCAACATCCCCTGGAACTCGTCTCTTTTCTCTGGCATCTTCTGGAGTTCATTCTCTCTCAGCTCTTGCATCTTGTTTAGTTTTGTCACTAATATTCTGAATTCTCAATCAGACATTTCCACGAGTTCTATACTGTCTGGATGATGAGGGATTGTTCTTTTCCCTTAGGGGAGATATATTTTCTTGATTTCTCATGTTCCTTGTGCTTCTGCGGTGGTTTCTGGTCATTCTGTGACAAAAATCTCTCCTTCACTCTGCTTGTCTGAATATTTGGGGAGTCTAGAAGATGGTGTTTAGAGCATAGCTTCCCTGAACAGGCCAGAACACACTTCAGCTTTAAAACAGCTTCTTGTCTGAATATTTTGGGAGTCTAAAAGATGGAGTTTAGAACATAGCTTCCTTCCCTGGTGTGTTTTTCAATCTACTGAGACTGCTATTTGAATTGGAATTAGCCATGTGGGATCCACCTTCCTTAACCACTAGAATATGGGGCCAGCCTGATCAGCATTTTGTGTTTTTGTGCAGTATTATTTGTGTCAGAATACATTGCATTTCAGACAGGTAGTTAAGAGAGAAAAATTCTTTTGGGAACTCAGCTATTTGTGAATTGAATATAATGACCAAAAAAAGTATATTATGGGAACCACTGATGATATTCAACCTGCATTTTTTGTGGAATTATTTAGTTAATACTTGCAGCTTACGTTTTGAAGAGCATAGTATATTGGTGCCAGCAGGTGAGGTGGTGGTTAAGGTGACTGGATTCCTATATGGCCAGCCACTCAACTTCTAGACTGGTAACTGGAAAATCATGCCAGGCACGTGTGCATGTGTATGCCCAGTATCCTGAGAGAACAATGAAAGAGAAAGAATTGCAGTGTGGCCATCCACCCCATGGGGTGATTTCTCACTTCCTTTCTCTGTCTCTCTTCTCTGGTGAGCACACACTGTGGCAGAAATCTTAAAAAAAAAAAAAAAAAAAAAAAGAAAAAAAAAGGATATTAATGTTCCATTTTATCTTTTCAGTACATAAAGAAAATGTAGAAAGTCTTAAAATGATTTTCATTTAAAGGGCAATTGCCTTTTAAATATCATGTTTGTTATAGTACTTAAAACGAAATAAATCAGTTAAAAATATATGCCTTTACTAAGTAGTTTAAGATTTAGTCATATTTGAAGGTTTTGCTTTAAATGTTCTCTTCTTTCTCTAGGTGAAGCTGTACTTCACAAAAACAGTAGAGGAGCCATCAAATCCAGAGGCTAGCAGTTCAACTTGTGTAACACCAGATGTTAGTGACAATGAACCTGATCATTATAGATATTCTGACACCACTGACTCTGATCCAGAGAATGAACCTTTTGATGAAGATCAGCATACACAAATTACAGAAGTCTGAATATTTTTTTATCAAGAGGGATAATATACCATGAAAACAAACTTGAATAAACTGAAAATGGACCTTTTTTTAAAATGGCAATAGGACATTGTGTCAGATTACCAGTTATAGGAACAATTCTCTTTTCCTGACCAATCTTGTTTTACCCTATACATCCACAGGGTTTTGACACTTGTTGTCCAGTTGAAAAAAGATTGTGTAGCTGTGTCATGTATATACCTTTTTGTGTCAAAAGGACATTTAAAATTCAATTAGGATAAATAAAGATGGCACTTTCCCATTTTATTCCAGTTTTATAAAAAGTGGAGACAGACTGATGTGTACGTAGGATTTTTCCTTTTGTGTTGTCACCAACTGAAGTGGCTAAAGAGCTTTGTGATACACAGGTTCACATCCTACCCCTTTGCACTTGTGGCAACAGATAAGTTTGCAGTTGGCTAAGAGAAGTTTCTAAAGGGTTCTGCTACATTATAATGCATGTATTTGGGTTGGGGGAATGGAGGGAATGCTCAGAAAGGAATATAATTTATGCTGGACTCTGGACCATATGCCATCTCCAGCTATTTACACACACCTTTCTTTAGCATGCTACAGTAATTAATCTGGACATTTGAGGAATTGGCCGCTGTCACTGCTTGTTGTTTGTGCATTTTTTTTTTTTTTTTTTAAGCATATTGGTGCTAGAAAAGGCAGCTAGGAGTGAGTCTGTTTTGGGGTACAGGAATGAACCTTCTGTAACATCTTAAGAATTCACAAGTGAAGGGATATAAAAATAATGTGGTCATAGATAAGAAACACAACAATGACTTAACCATATAAATGTGGAGGCTATCAACAAAGAATGGGCTTGAAACATAAAAATTGACAATTTATTAAATATGTTTTCTCAATTGTAATGACTGCTCCATCTCCTGTGTAATCAAGGCCAGTGCTAAAATCAGATGCTATTAGAACCTACATCAGTCAACAACTTATACTCACTTTATTAGTTTTCAATCATATACCTGCTGTGGATGCTTCACATGCTGCCTGCAAGCTTCTTTTTTCTCATTAAATATATTTTGTAATGCTGCACAGGAAATTTCAATTTGAGATTCTACAGTAAGCGTGTTTTTTTTTTTTTAATTTCTTTAAAGATTTATGATGCACTTATTCAATCCAATAGCTGTCAGCTGTTCCACCCTTTTGACCTTACACATTCTATTACAATGAGTTTTGCAGTTTTGCACATTTTTTAAATGTCATTAACTGTTAGGGAATTTTACTTGAATACTGAATACATATAATGTTTATATTAAAAAGGACATTATTTGTGTTAAAAAGGAAATTAGAGTTGCAGTAAATTTTCAGCACTGCACAGATAAGGCATTTAATTTTTCAGTAGAAATTGTCCTATGTATGCTTTATCAATTTGCTTTTGAAAGGGTAGTGATTTTTTTTGTTTGTTTTTGTTTTAAAGTGCAGTGTTGAGTCATTTCTTCATAGTACTAGAGTTGGGACTAGGGCTTCAATTTCACTTCTTAAATATCATTATATATTTGATATGCCCAGACTGCATATGATTTTAAGCAGAGTACAACTACTATTGTAAAGCTAATGTGAAGAAATTGTTTAAAAAGGATTTTTTCCAGAAATTTGATGTCTTTCAAATTATACCTTGACCTTGACATTTGAATAGCCAGCCATTATATTTCTTAATGGTGTAAAATCCCATTTTCAATAACTTATTGGTGCTGAAATTGTTCACTAGCTGTGGTCTGACCTAGTTACTTTACAAATACAGATTGCATAGAACCTACTAGAGCAGCATTTACAGAGTTTGATGGTAAATAGATTAGAACAGAACTTCATCTAAAACATCCCTAGTAAGTAATGTTGAAATATTTTCCATACCTCGTCAGTTTTGTTCAGCAAATACAATTTTTAAATTTTTAACAAAACTCTTAGGACTTACACATTTATATTTAAACACTGATATATAGAGTATAGATTGACTGCTCACAAGTAAAACTGGTAAAGTTAGAAACAACTATTCCTAAGCGCTCACCATCAAAATTTTTATGCCTGTCTTTCATAAAGGTGACAATTGTTGATTAAAATGAAAATCAACTCTTCATGTTTTGAAGGTAGTTATTCATACTATTCTTTGTTACAGTTTTGGGCACAGCATATTAAAACATAACTTGTATTGTTCCAATATGTAACATGGAGGGCCAGGTCATAAATAATGACAATATAATGGGCTTTTGCACTGTTATTATTTTTCCTTTGGAATGTGAAGGTCTGAATGAGGGTTTTGATTTTGAATGTTTCAATGTTTTTGAGAAGCCTTGCTTACATTTTATTGTTTTGTCATTGGAAATGGAAAAATGGCATTATATATATATATTATATATATAAATATATATTATACATACTCTCCTTACTTTATTTCAGTTACCATCCCTATAGAACTTGACAAGAATTGCTATGACTGAAAGGTTTTCGAGTCCTAATTAAAACTTTATTTATGACAGTATTCATAATTAGCCTGAAATGCATTCTGTAGGTAATCTGAGTTTCTGGAATGTTTTCTTAGACTTTTTGGATGTGCAGCAGCTTACATGTCTGAAGTTACTTGAAGGCATCACTTATAAGAAAGCTTACAATTGGGCCCTGTACCATCCCAAGTCTTCTGTAGCTCCTAATGAATATTTTTGCCATAATTACAAAAGGATAGTTGGATATATAGCATCACCATTCTTTGCTGTGGCACAGGTTATAAACAAGTGGAGTTTACCGGCAGCATCAAATGTTTCAGCTTTAAAAAATAAAAGTAGGGTACAAGTTACATGTTTAGTTCTAGAAAATTTGTGCAATATGTCCATAACGATGGCTGTGGTTGCCACAAAGTGCCTCGTTTACCTTTAAATACTGTTAACGTGTCATGCATGCAGACGGAAGGGGTGGAACTGTGCACTAAAGTGGGGCTTTAACTGTAGTGTTCGGCGGAGTTGCCTTCTACCTGCCAGTTCAAAAGTTCAACCTGTTTTCATATAGGATATATATACTAAAAAATTTCAGTCTGTTAAACAGCCTTACTCTGATTCAGCCTCTTCAGATACTCTTGTGCTGTGCAGCAGTGGCTCTGTGTGTAAATGCTATGCACTGAGGATACACAAAAAAAAAAAAAAAGAAAAAAAGAAAAAAAAAAAACAAAATGATGTGTACAGGATAATGCCTCATACCAATCAGATGTCCATTTGTTATTGTGTTTGTTAACAACCCTTTATCTCTTAGTGTTATAAACTCCACTTAAAACTGATTAAAGTCTCATTCTTGTCATTGTGTGGGTGTTTTATTAAATGAGAGTTTATAATTTAAATTGCCTAAATCCACTGAAATTTAAATGGGCAGCCAAATGTGATTATGAAGTTTTCTGTAAGTTTTTTTCCTGCTGTCCTTCAAAGCCTTCTACTGTTCTAAAAGCATGACCTTTGTCAGCTTGAGAGTAGCGTATCTGTCTGCTCATGTTTAAGAAAGAACTTACTTTCGGGCCTTAGTCTCTACTTAATTGTTCCAAGCACATTAAGTAGCATTCTAATTGAAAAAGTTCAAGAGCCTTGGAAAATTGTGCACTTTTTAAAATTAAATCAGATGTCTGAAGATAATTCCTCAGAATGAATTTGAAACTTCAAATTTTAGTTTTGTGACTTTTCTTTATAGTTTTATACTCTGCCATCAGCATATGAGAAGCCTCGTCACTCATGATTCGTGCCATAGAAAAGTTGATATTCCAGAGTGGTCTAAAAAACTTTGTGTACTTGAATTTAATCTTGTTGCTTCTAATATTATTAAAAGATTAAAGACTAAGGCATGTCCCATCCACAAAATACAGTAAGGTAATAAGTGAAAGTATAGCTTGTACAAACGTTTTGAAAATAAAGCAGACCATAAATGTAATAGTGGAATTTAATGTTATTTCAAGTTTACATCTTCTTCATGTGACTTTAAAAGTAAATGTGAATAATGTGTAATAATGTAAGAAGTATGAAGTGTGTGTGTGTGTGTGTGTGTGTGTGTGTGTACACATTTTTCTCTTTAGGTCTCTTAGGTATAACTGGTTGAAAACTAAAATGGAGTCTAAATTCTGATTTTTACTTTTTTGTGTGATATTTGAGAAATAGGAATTTACTGGCAATTTTGTTTTTGTATCATGCCTTTATACACTATAATTTGAGCTGGCTTTGGTTTAGTGAAATGCCATCACCATTTCCATTGAGGATTTAAAAATCACCAGTGTTTAACATGCAGGCTTCCAAAGGCTTATGAAAAATCAAGACCCTTAAATCTAGTTAATTGCTGCTAATGTGAAACTTTGGGTTCTTTTATTTTTGTCAGGTAATTAATCATACATCTAAAGCTTAGTTTTAAATGGCTTAAGTATAACTTTTGATTAGCAGTGCTATTGCTAGTGCAGAAAGAAATGTTTGTGAGTGGAAACAAAAATATTTGTTCCAAACTGGTGTAAGGATGGTACTAAACAACTAGCAGAGAAAATCATGGAGAAAAACTTGTATTTAAAGATGTGATGTTCGAAACTAATTTTCTCATAGAATTATACAGCTACAGGAAGCCTAGTGAATGATTTAGTTCCTTATCAGTTTTTAATTCTAGAGTAAATCATTCTCTTAATTACCATAATCTTGCAATTTTTCCATCTTATAAGAGATTTATTTTCCCTCTTACAAGTATATGAGAATGTGGATAGACAGACAAATTCACATTGGTCGACAAGTTCACGTTGGTTGGTAGCTTTAAAAGTTTGTAATGTGAAGTCAGGAAAGGACAAAATACAGTCTCAATGGTGGTAGTACTCTTTGGTTCTTAAGCTAGCTATTTTGACAATACTCTTTCATCCCAACAAAATCATCATAACCCCCACCACCAGGAAACATAGTAACTAGTACTTTAGTGGCTACACAATCATTTTTTTCTCTGTATACTCATGTATATATTTTCTTTAAAAATGAAATGTGTACTGTGCATACTCTCAAAACCTTGGTTAGCTTAGCATTTCTGTTACGGATTTGTAGAATGTCCATTGCATCAAAAAATGGACAATGATCTGATGACTTTCCAGTGCCACAGTTACAGGTTTTGTGCAGTTACTGAGAGTCCTTTCCAATTCAGAGGGTTGATCATTGTTAAAATGTTGGCGTTAGGTCGATACATATCTAAGTAAATAAAACAGTTTATTTAGCATAGGCAGGCTTAATATTGTAGGTATTTCTCTTCAAAAACCGTTCTAAACATTTGCATTTGGAATCCTGTGTTAAATGCTTAAACAATGTGTGCGACACTGTATTAATAGTTAACTTCTTCACTTTCCTATTTCCCTTATAGATTGGAAAAGAAAGGTGCATTTTTCTGTTTTCAGGGTTATCAGAAATGCCATGATGTGTTTTTTTCTATGTTTTTCTATGCAAAAGTGCATCATGACTTTTATGACAGCCCTAGTTTCCAAACAGTTGCTTTATTTAAAGAACAAATTCATTTAACACAAGCCAAGAAAGAAAACAAAAAGAGCTATTGCCGATTCATTACTTGTCTTCAAATCCACATACTCTTGTCACTTCCATCACATCAAAAACATACTTCATGAAGTTCACCCTTAGCTCTGAAACTTGCCCTGTTTAGTGTTGTAGTGGGATTACAACAGAACGTGTAATTTTTTTAATGGTTATTTGAGAATTTTGATGAAAAATTACTTAGTTGAAGGCAATATATAACTTATAAACCAATGTGCTGATACTTTAAAAACTTTTACGTTATATACGAGTGAAGTTAATTGCCGTCTTTGAGCATTACCACATTTTAAAATAAAGCTGCATATTTTTAAATGAAGTGTTTAACGAAGATTTATAGTTTTCATTTTTTACAATTAAAAATAAGTTATGTCTTTGTTGCATGTAGATTCTCATCTGTCCTTAACCATGGTTAGGAGTTTTGTTTGTGTAGAGTGCCACAAGGTTTGTCGTCATGACTCTTGGTGTTTCAATTTCCAAATTTGTTGACTGCAGAGAAATTCTCTAAATGTCTAGTGTGGTTTTCTGTACCATATCACGACTGACTATCAGGTGCACCTTTAGGACTTTCTGCCACCTCTACAGTTGACATGATACACCCCATGTTTACAAATGTCCTTTCCATTTCTATTCCTTTTTCCATTAAATTGCCTTCATGCCCCAAAAGGTAGTTGGTAAGTGTGTGCATGTGTGCGTTTATGTTTGTGGTATATATGTGTATGGGGTGAATTTTCAAAGAATACTAGACTCCAACTTTAGAAATTAAATAGTTTGATTCAGGCAAACATTTATCACTGGAATTTCACAGTTCATTGTTATGAAAATGTTAACGCTGGTGACCTTTGACATACAGTAATGAATCTTGGATATTAATGAATCTGTGAGTAGCATCTTGATGTGTGCATTAAGTTATTTTCAAAGTTGTGCATTAAACCAAAGTTGGCATATTGGAAATGTTTATATCAAGTTCCATTTGGCTACTGATGGACATAAAAATAGAAATGCCTTCCTATGGAGAGTATTTTTCCTTTAAAAAATTAAAAAGGTTAATTATTTTGACTATTTGGTTTTAAACTTTTTATTTATCCAACAAATATTTGTCAAGCCACTGCTATATATAACAGGTGTCTAGAATACATTAGCTATCAGAACAGACACTCCCCGTCTTTGCCCTTGAAGAGTTTACACTTCAGTAGAGGAAACAGACTTTACTAAAATAATTAGAAGCCATGACACATGCTGTGAAATAGGAGATCCATTGATACAGTGATGATCACGTTCCATATGCTCCTGAAAGTTTTCATTACATTTTTATTGAGAAGGAAAGACACCTCAGCAGCCTCCTTATGCTGATAACTCACCCCTAACCCCAGTGAGCCTGGAGGGTCCTTGCCTGGTGTGCACAGGGAGACCCTGGTACGCAAACCTAGGGTCTTGCTAAGGGTCCTGCGTCCCAGAGAGTTGTGTTACCACAGCAGGCCCTGCTCCTCTAAATTTGTAACCCCTTGGAATTAGAGGGGCTGATGGAACTATTCCATTCCAATGAAATAACCAGTGAAATACCACTCCTCTTGGCGTGAAGGCAAGAAGAAAAACCCTGTGTCATCAAGTCTCTCTCTGCCCCTACTGTAGGGATAAAGGATTTGATGTGTACCAGATAGAGCAACTCTGTTGGCCTATGTGTTGAATAATTATATGGAACAAAACTCCCTCAAAACCTCCCTTTTCATGCACTAAACTTGATAGACATTAGCATGAACAGGAAGCAATTTACATCGATATTTTGGCACCACTTAATTTACATTGATAATTTGTTACCACTGCACAATTTATTATACCTAATTCAGTGCTTCAGAAAAATCAGGGAAGGGTTCCTTGAGCAACGAAGAGGGAATTGACGAAGCACATTGAAAAATAGCATCTTTAAACAATATGATTCAATAAACTGGATTGCAAGTGGTTTAATAGTTATCGATCGCCTGGGGTGTCAGTCACTGTTCTAGATGCTTGAGATACTAGTGAGTGAGAAGCAGATCTCACCCCTCATGGAGCTTAGATTCTAATAAAAGGAAATAGACAAATATACCATAGATAAAATACAGTGCTAAGAGAAAGTGGGATAGATAGGAAAAAAAGATCAGTTCTGCATGGTGGGGAGATTGCAGTGTTTAGTAGAATAGATCAGAATAAACCTCACCAAAAGGGGATATTTGAACAGATTTCTGAAATGGTGACAGAATTCTCTTTCACACTGTCAACCAATAAGATACGATCAATTTTTTTTTTTGAGATAGATTTTTGCTATATGGCGCATGTGCTCGCCAGAGAGACAGAAAGTGATAAATCACTCCACCCCATCCCACCAGGGGAGATGGCCACGCCGTAATCCCTTCTCCATCCTCTCAGGATCTTGGGCACACATCCACATGTGCCCAGTGTGAGTTTAAGCCACTGGGTCCGGGGCTTGAACCGTGGTTAACTACATGGGAGTCCAGCAACATAGCCATTATGCCAAATGCTGGACCTGTAGATGTGCTCAATTTTCTATAAAATGCTGTCACTCAACTCTATATTTCTGGGTTTTCAAGATTATTATTGGTATGCCTAAGAGGGACTTATAAGAATATTGCCCAAAAGAGTCATGCCGTTTTAAGCCACTTTGTTTTCTAAATTGGTTTGGGAAAAATCTATGCAAGCAATTGGTTTCTCTTCATTCTTAGGGTGAGTTAAGTTCCTGATTAAATTTTTCATATACGCCTGCTAAGTGTATGTGTCTTTTGAAAACAATATCACTTTCAGAAGTTAAAATTCTGTTTTGGCCTTAAACATTTTTGTAAAGCTGAAAGGAAACATCATTTATGACTTATTGGTGGGAAATAGTTACAAATTTTTACTTATTCAGAAAATGAAAGGGGTGAGATCTATGGCCTTGTGGTATATATTTTAATTCTTAATCCATAGGCAAAAATCTCTGGAAAAGTACTAGTATCTAAATAGCAAAAGAAATATACATATATATATGTGTGTGTGTGTGGTTTTTTCTTTTTCCACGAAAAGAAAACCCCCTCTCTCACTCCACCTCAGTTCCAAATAATGTAATTTGTGATAGTATAATTCAATGGTATAATTGAATTAGTTCGATACGGTAGAAGTTTGTGACTACCAGGGCTGGCAGGTGTCATGATCTTTAGGGTACTGGACTCCCACATGGGTGACTGACCGTGGCTTGACTCCCAGACATGGTAGCTTGCTTTCTAACTTTCTCTTTCTGTCTCTCTCTGGTCAAATAAAATAGTAATAATAAAATCAAATAAATAATTCTTTTTTTTAAATGGCGACTACTTACTGACCAGGAATCATTAACCTTTTGCTAGT